TTCTCCTTTCCCCACCATGGAGTGAAGTGCCAAAAAGGAAAAGAAAATGGGAGGGTAAAAAAACCCAAAACAACACCCCCATGGAAGGTCAGCAGCAGCTGTGGAGTAGCTGGGATGGAGGAGCTGGGATGGAGTAGCTGGGATGGAGGAGTTGGGATGGAGGATTTGGGATGGAGTAGCTGGGATGGAGGAGTTGGGATGCTCATTGTCCTGCTCATCTCAGCACCTTCTCCTTCCCCCTTTTCTTTCCAAAACGGAAAAGGGAAGGGTAAGAAAACCCTACTTTAATTAAAAATATATATATATATATAAAATTAAATCTCTTTTTATATATTAAAAATACTCCCATTTTCTCATCCTGAGAGGAAGTATCACCCCCATAATTGCTGCGATTCCTCCCTTTCTCCCAATGTTTATTATTTTCATTCAGTGCCCTGACCCTGGTTTTGCTGCTGTCCCCACATCCCACCCCCTTTGTCCCCTTTTCCTCCCTCAGCTGCGTCCCCCCCGAACACGGTGGACAGGCCCTGCCTGAAGCTGAAGGTTTATGTTCGGCCAACAAGTAAGTGAGAGGTTTGGGGGGGTCACTGGGGGGGTCCCCAGGTCCTGCCCACGGCTTGGGGGCGAGTGGTGGCCTTTGGGTGCCACCCCGGTGGTGACAGGGATGGGAACAGAGCCCTCAGCTCTGTTGGAGCCATCTCAGCACTGTCCAGACAGAGAGATAGAGGGGGGAAAAAAAAAAAAAAGAGTAACAATAATCATCGCTGCTCAGTGGCTACTTTTCTGACTCGCATAAATCAGCCATTTAAAAAAACAAATTAATAATTTTCTTCTCCTGTTAACGTGTAATTAGCAAATGGCAGCGACTCTCCCTGGGGACAGCGGAATGTCACCGGGTAACCGATGGCTCTCGCCTCCCTTCCTTTGGTGGCTTTAAAATAAAACCCAACATAACGGAACCATCTGTAAAATCTCATCTCATGTTCCGTTCAGGATGAGGGGGAGAAAAAAAAAAATCTCTGCCGATATTATTTTTTAGTATTTTAATAATATTGGGATTTTGTTCTGTCTTGCAGAGGGGAAGGGAAGGGGAAGAGAGGCTGGGCCTGGGGATGGTGGGAGGTCCCTGAGGGGGCGCCCCTTGTCTGGGTCTGACCCTGGGATGAGTCTGGAAACCTCATCCTGGCACGAGGGACCCTCTGGAATTTTGGGGGGACGGGAGGATCAGGTGGGTGGGACGTTGGAGCATCCCCAGGCAGGACCAGACTCTGTTTGTCCTGATTCTAGGCCCATAAAAATCCATAATTCAGTGACAAACCGGAGCGAGCTGAGGCGGGGGAGTGGCCACATGGGGTCCGATGTGCCCCGGTGTGTCCCCCATGTGTCTCCTGCGTGTCCCCCGTGTGTTCCCTGTGTGTCCCCGTGTCCCCCGTGTGTCCCCCGCTGTGGCCGGGACCCCCAGGCTGTGGGCAAGGGCTGACCCTGCCCCGAGCGGCTCCATCCCCGGATAAACCCCTGGGACAATGTCACCTGCCTGTGGCACACGGGGACGGGCTCCGAGGCTCCGTGATCCCGGTAAAAGGGCAGGATCCCACCCTGGGGAGCCCCCCGCGGCACTGCCACCCTCGCATGTCCCCGTGCCAGCTCCCGGGGGGTGGCAGCTGCGCTTTTGGGGTAGCAGGGATTTGGGAAGGGGTCATTGCCCAGCTCATCGGCACGGGGATGCTGCCAGACACCGAGCATCACCGCAGCCATCCCTCCCTCTGTTCCTTCCTTTTCCACAGACGATTCCCTCTACGAATCCCCGGAGCCCATTTTCACCAGCAACAACTCGTGCTGCAGCCTCAGGGTGCCGCCGGCGGCGCTGGCGGTGGTGCCGGTGGTCTGGACGCTCCTGCTCTCGTAGCAGCGACACCGAAGCGCCGGGAGCGGCCCCCGGGGATGGATCCTGCCCGCCCCGAATCGCCTGGATGGTGCCCAGGGAGGGTCGGTGCTGCCCGCGAGGATCCTGTGGCCGCCTGAAGTCCCCGCCGTGGCACGGCTGTCCCGCCGGGAGCGGTGCCGGGCTGTCCCCCGGGGATGGATCCCGATTTCCATCCCTGCCCTGCAGTTCCGGCTGTCCCGGTGGGGCGTTGCTTTTTACATTTCTAGACCAAATACAGAGTCCTCGTCCATTTGTTTTTTTTTTTTCTTTGGTTGTTTTTTTTTTTTTTTTTTATATATATATTTTTATTTTTGTGGTTTGATTTGGTTTTTTTTAAAGAAAAAAAAAGATTTTTATTTTTATTTGTTGAGTTGTTCCCATCGGGTCCTCCTGGTGCCAGACTGACCTGCACGGGCTGGGCTCGGTTCCCCACGGAGCCCCCGTTGTCCCCTCCGTGGGCAGAGCCACCGGACACAGCCATGGTGCCACCGGCTCTGTGGGCATGGACTCCTTCCCAGCCCGGCCACAGGACGTCACGGAGCCGGACCTGCCACCCTCGGCCACCCCCTGCCCTGGGCACGGGGGGCCTGGATGGACACAGCCCCCTCTGAGCGCCCGGGGCTTCACCCCGTGCCCTCCACTCGTGCCACGGATGTCACCGTGGATGTCACGGATGTCACCGCCGTCCCCGTGGGACACCAGGGTGGCTCTGTGAGCAGCAAAGGAAATTGGATTCAGCTGGCATGGGGACACTGGGATGGCCGGCACGGAGAGCACCGGGATGTCCCCCATGGAGAGCACGGGGATGGTCGGCACGGAGAGCACCAGGAATGGTCAGCTGAGACAGAGAGCACCGGGATGGCCGGCATGGAGAGCACCGAGATGGCCGGCATGGAGAGCACTGGGATGTCCCTATGGAGAGCCCCGGGATGTCCCCCATGGAGAGCACCGGGATGTCCCCTATGGAGAGCACCGGGATGTCTGGCCAGCACACCAAGCACCGAGGATGGCCAGCATGGAGAGCAGGGAGTGGCCAGCATGGAGAGCAGCAGGAGTGGCCAGCACCCGGAGCACCGAGCGGCCACGGGCATGGAGAGCACTGGGGACGGCTGGCACTGAACACGACTGGCACTGGGAGCACTGGGAGCACTGGGAGGGGCTGGCACTGCCAATGGCCGGCACGGGGGATGCCAGGAATGGCCGGCTGGCACGGGGAGCACCGCCGGGCGCTGGGAGCCGGCAGGCCGGGCTCGCCCAGCCGTGGGCATCGCTCCGAGGGCGTTTGGCTGGCACCAGGGCAGGAGGAGTGTGTGCCATGGATTTTCCTCCTCCACCCTGCTCCGTGTCCCCCTGATGCTTTGGGGGTACAGGAACCCCCATGGGGGGCTGGTGGCAGCCTGTGGGGCCTTCCTGGTGCTCCCTCATTGTCCCCCGACATTCCAGGGCTGGGCTTGGGGATTTTTCCCCTTTTCCTTTGCATTAATAATTAACTCCCCCTCCCCAAACCCCAAATCCGAGGTTGGCCCTGACCCCAGGGGTGGCAGATCCCCAGGGAGGGGTCACCCTGCAGCCCCAGGGTCTGACCCCTCCTCGCCTTAAGTCTGGGGCTGTCCCACCTTGGGGGGGTCCTGTGCCCATCCCACAGAACCCAGGGGTGGTCGGTGGTCCTGGGGGATGTCAGAGATGGGCTCAGACCTGGCTGGAGCCCCCCCAATTCCCAGCGGATCCCGGAATCCCAGAGCTGGGAGGGGGCTCTGTCCCTGTACATACAGCGCTATACTGTGAGCGTTTTTTTTATGTATTGTTGAGAATGGATTTTATGGAAGGGTTTATCTTATTTTTATTTTATTTTTATTTTTTAGACTAGGAAGCTGGAATCTTGCAATAAGCTCATCTTGACCATCCAAAAAAAAAAAAAGAAAAAAAGAAAAAAAAAGCCAAAAAACCCCCCAAAACCCGGAAAAAAATTACAAAAAAAAAAAAAAAAAGACAAAAAAAATACAAGAAAAAAAAAACATAATTAAAAAAAAAAAAATTGCATTCCCTGCCGTCCCTGTCCCGTGTGTCCAGACCAGGTCGTGGTTCCGAAGGTGACAAAAGAATTGTGTTTATTGGGGGGGGGAGGGGATGTGGGGAGCACCCGCTGGGCTCCAACACGGAGCCGGCAGCACCCGCCTGGCCTTCGGTCTGTGTTTTATATATATATAGATTATATATATAAATATCTATATTGTGTACAGCGACTGTGGGAGAGTGGAAGGACGGAGGCAGCAGTGGGGCCGGCGGGGGGGGAAGGCTGGGGGTCCCCTGGAGCAGCCCCCCCCTGCCCTCGGTGCTGTCCCCCCCTCCCCGTGCTGGTCCCCGTCGTGCCTCGCTCCGTCCTTCGACATTTCTGCTTTCGTCCTCGACGTCGTGCTGATGGTAACCGGATCTCTCACCCCCCATTTGGATTCTGTATTTTTTTATAATAAAATACAAATAAATGTCGTGTGAGGCCCTTGCTTTGAGGAATCACTTTTCCCTCTCCGTGCGGATCTGTGTCCCCTCTGGGGGGTGGCCAAGGTTGTGTCCCCAAAAGGTTCCTGGGGTCCATCCCTGCTCCCTGTGCAGCCCCATGTCCCCTCTGGGGGTGTCCAAGGTTGTGTCCCCAAAAGGTTCCCGGGGTCCATCCCTGCTCCCTGTGCAGCCCCATGTCCCCTCTGGGGGTGTCCAAGGTTGTGTCCCCAAAAGGTTCCCGGGGTCCATCCCTGCTCCCTGTGCAGCCCCATGTCCCTTGGTACACCAAGGCTCTGCAGCCAGACCTCCCTGCTGGGTGGTGTGTTAATTACGGGAAGGACTTAATTACCCTGTTAATTAATAATAATGGATATTAAATTAATTAATATGCAATTGTTGATAGTATTTAATTATAGGAAGCGAGGCTGCCTGGCGGGTGGGCGCTCGGGGCTGGCGGCTCCCGCAGCCCCAGCTCCTCACCTGCTGCTGCCTCAGTTTCCCCAGCAATGAGACACCCACAGGTGACATCCTGCCAGGCCACCAAAGCCAGGACAGGCTGCTCTGAGGTGGCATCACAATCATCCTCTGCCTCTGCTCTTTTTTTTTTTTTCCCCCTAAATCCTAAACTTTTCCGGAGCGGCCGGCGCTCCTTCCTGGCATTTCATGCCTATTCCAGCATAATTAGCAGCAATAGGAACAACCCGCTGGTAATTAATTGAGGCTCCCACAGCTGATCCGAGCTCTGAAGTTTTGCCACCAGAGGGTGAAAGACTAATTTTGCTTTTTAATAAGGGCCATATGTGTGCCAGGAGCAGGAGCGATGCCACCCACCGCCGGGGACGTGGGTGCCACCTCCAGCTCCGTCACAGGGAACCACCAGTGAAAGAACCTGGCAGGGACTGACCAAAAAGTGAATTTTTAGACACGCTTAGGAGGTTTTCTCAGACCCGGCTCATGATTTTTTTAACGCTGGGAGTTGGAAATAGGGAGGTAAAAATAGCGAATGGGCAGGAGTGAGGCTGAGACAGATCATCGTTAGTAATTAATGAATGGAGTCGTGGGGCTTTAGGGCCTGAATGGGATCATTTAGAGCCCGTCTCTGGTGCCGAGGTTTGATGTGAGGAGTGGTGGTGATGGAGAGCTGGGCTGGGCCTGGATGCTGCATGTGCTGGATCCTGTTGGGCTGCGGGGTCCGCATCGCAGCAATACCAGCACGAGTGGAGCTGGGGGATTCCAGCGGATAATTGGGATAATTGGGGCTGATTCCATGGGGTCAGGCTGGGAGCTGCCATCCTGCTCCAGAGCAAAGGCACCCCGAGCCCCCGAGCTGATCCCGGAGTTCCGAGGGTTCTGCTCCCCCTGCTCCTTCCTCCCTTTCAGCATTTCAGCTTTTTTTTTTTTTTTTTTTCCTCCATTTAACCCCCTGGAGGCAGTGAGTGCTCCGAGCTCCTCTGGCCCATGGAATGTCCCACTTGGTGCCACATTCCAGCTGTGGAGGGCACAGCTCCCCCGGTCCAGATGTTGTGGTCCAGGTTTGCACCGTGGGGAGGCTCAGGGTGGTCCCCAGATCCCTCCCCTCTCCTGGTCCTCACTCCAGGGACGTTCAGCCACGCAGGTCCCATTCCTGCCGAGCTTTCCAGAGGGATTTTCCCACTTTGTGCCACAGAGGTGCCTGTCCCAGCACGGATGCCACCATGGCCACTGTATGCCAGGGGAAGGTTCACCACGACGCTGAGCCTTTCCCGGGGCTGCTCGAGGCAGAGCAGGGAGCTGGGAACATCCTGGGATAAAAAATCCACTTTTCTCCTGCATCCAGCTTCAGTTTGCTCGATTGAAATGAATTCCCAGTGGCCAGATTGTCCCCTTGCCACCCTGGGTCCCCACTGGCCTTGTGTTCCCCCATGGTGAGTGCTGCGAGCTCAGGCTCCTGGACTGAGCTGGCATAGTGGCCACTGAGATCGGCACAGTGGCTACCGGCCCCCTCCGAGCACTGCAGCAGGGCTGGGGGGCTCATCCCTGTGTCCCCCTGTCCCATCCCACGCAGGGGACCTCGACACCGTGAGCTCACCGACACCTCCCGGGCTCCGTCACGTCCCTCCAGCAGCTCCGGCGGCGGCTCCTGCCCC